GTCTCTCTCTCTCTCTCTCTCTTTTTAAATATCGCTTTCACTTCGACTTCGCCGCGAGAATCGGGCGATTTAATCGCCGATACAATAGTAACACTCTTCTTCGATTATTCACAAAATTGATCAAACGTTTCAAAAATCTTATGTGAAATAGGAAATCCGATGTAATAGGAAAAAGGGAGAAAAGAGAATGATTACATGTATATAAAAAGAATCTTTCTTTAATTAGTATCGCGGAAAGATACAAGTAATATATTTCCAAAACGAGATGAACATTCGAAGTAATCTTCGCGCGATTTCCGAAACACTCGATCAGTTTTCGTGAGTCGAATCGCTTCAAAATGCGTAAGGAAAGGGGGAGGGGGAGGTTGGGAAGGCAAAGAGGAGGTTGAGAAACAGTCGAGTTGAAAACAATGTATTCCCGATTAATATTCTCGATATTCCGAAGTAAGTTAATTGTGCTCGCTTGAAGTACATTTATTTATTGTCCATTGCGTACGATTACCTCGTCGGAAGGCGCTCTCAGAAGGATTGAAGGAAAAGGGGCTGCGTCGACTGTTAAATGTCCGATAATAAATAAAGTGAGGAGTTGAACGAACAGGGTGAGGTTGACGCGAGATCAACCCAAGCAGAACAACAAGTCACGATAACGTCAAAATGACATTAAAATAAATCGGAAATGATTGAAAAGTGATTTTTAACGATCATTTTAGAGTAATTTTGACATTATTTTGATATCATAATGACTCGTTGTTCTCCTTTTGAACGCTCCTAATCGAAATAATACAAGTCACGAGGTGCTCGACTAGAATTGGTGGGTCACACGGTATACACTTGCTCGATAAATGCACGTACACGTACGTATATGTGTCTTTTTTATGCGTATATGTGTAAGTGTGTGTGTGTTTGTGTGTATATATGTATATATAATTTATGCACAAGGACAACAGTAACAATAACGACAACAGCGAACATGATAACGACCGACGATTTCTGCATCTCTGTCTCCTTTTTCTTTTTATTAACGATAGAGATACTGCGAATGATAACCATGTCGCGAGACGCTCAACGTCCTCGCAGATGTAGAACCTCGAATTTCAGTTCGATTATCAATAACAGATTAATTAGAATTAAATCGAGAAATATCCACAGACTTCTGTATATTGTACTGAACTGCCAACGGCAGTCTTTATAATGAAGCCATGCCGTCATATTTAATATGGGATAAACATTATTTGTCGATAATGAGAGAAAAGTTTTTGCGATTACATGTTTTTGTAATTACATGTTACTATAATTGTGGTTATTACTGTTATAGTGTTAAGGAATAATAACTACACTGAGAAAAATGTTCTAATTATCTCGCGATTAGAATGTTTGATTAATTTAACTGTAAGTGTCTGATTTATATCTTTCTGATTGCGATCAACACAAAACACTTTTCTAGTGTATAGTTCTATGAATAAATACACATATTTGATAACGAAGACGACTACGAAATATTATAATTATTACTATAAAAATGATTTCAATTATTAAAAATTATAACCATTTTTACATGTGGCAATAATAACCATTTATTATAGTCATTTTCGATTATAGATATATGTATATTTGCTGACAGAAATATACATACAGTATATAATTATTATATCAATAATAATCATAATTATAGTAATGTATAATTACAGTAATAAATACCAGAAATTGTTCTCTCAGTGCAAGAAGTAAAATTTCAACGTATTACCAAGTATGCAAACATTAAAGGCATCGTTCGATATTTTTGTATAAAATAAACAACGTTATCCTTTATTTATTGACTTAGAAATCATTTAGATTAAACTACACACAATTTTGACTGTACACCGCACGTATTATATCCCACAGTAAATGTTGCTATCAGCTTCACATTTTACCGTGAATTCACCACTGGTCCAATATACAGAAATCTGTGGGAATATCAATGTTAGCAATTTGCTAATTCCAATCTCCAGACGCGCACATCCAACGGTGTCACTGCGTGCGTCTCTCTCTGCGTCTCACGTAGCCACGGTGAAAGTAGTCCAAAGTAGTCTACAATTGCGCCACTTGCTCGTTATTGGTCTTGCTGGTGGTGCTGGACGTTAGCGAGATCTCGGTGACCCCCACGGACGTCCGCACCGCCGAGGTCAGGGCGCCCTGCAACGGCACGTTCTCGCTCGCCGACTCGCAGCCCGTGTCTGCAAAAATCACAAGTTCCATCAGTCGTCCGATCGGGAGCAAGGGTGGAAAAACAGAAAGCGAACGTCTGGCTGAGAATGCCCGGAATGCATTGGGCGAAAAGGTTCTTCTACCCCTCCCCCCTCCCCCCCCCCCCCC